TCCACTGAACTTCTCCATTTTCCTTTCGAATCCACTTTCAACTTTCCTTTCTTCTATCGCACGAAAGTGCATGGTCGGGAAGCAATAAAAGGACCACCAGTCACGAAACTGTGCACGTACCTCAACCTTACTGAGGCTTTCGGAGGTTGCAACTAATGACAACGATAACAATACTAAGTGGTAAACAAAAAATGTCTGTTCGAATTATGATCGAAGTTAATCCATATGGTACCATTTCTGTTTTAATGTAGATGGCCTCATGAAATTGAAAGAAAGTGCGAAAAAGCGGAAAGGTCGAGGATTCATTGCTGGTAAGCAATAAATGTCTGTTTCACTTTTTATTTGCCAATAGATAGCGTCAATACAGGAAAAGAAGGATTCGAAAGCATTCCCACTGATAATGACACTGGTCCAGGACCCCAGAGATGTGAGCCTTGATCTATTTATAATGATTTACTTCTTAGCCATTGAGGGATGGATTTTATTCATCCGTAATGTTCACGAAGAGGCAACCGAAGAGGACATACGAGATAAATTTTGCGAGTATGGGGACATAAAAAATATCCACCTTAATCTTGATCGTCGTACCGGTTACTTAAAGGTCTGTTTGGGTTACTTTGCAAGCCATTTTCTCAGGGATACGCGCTTGTGGAGTATGAAATGTTCAAAGAAGCACAGACTGCCATGGAGCAACTGAATGGAAGTGAACTGCATGGCCAAAAAATCCGTGTTGATTGGGCATTTACGAAAGGCCCGAGTGCAAATAAACCACCAACTCGTCACCGAACTCGCGCCCATAGCCGAAGTAGAAGTCGTTCCGGCGACGGAGCAAGACGTTGAAGTGTAAAAATGTTTGTATGTTTTATATATTCACGCAAAGTAAATTTAACAGCCATGTATTTCCTGCATTACGCAGTCTTCATTCTCTATGGCGATCTAGCGATTTTGCGGGGAAGCTAGAAACAGTTTTCTGTGCGATCTGAGGGCGACGTTCGCAGTCCAAAAGGTATATGCTAAAAGTTGGCGCGTGATGCACACTGCCTTTGGGGGAAGCGCTAGCCTGTTTCATGATGCTTCAATATCGAGTTGTTGAAACGTTCTTCTGTCAGACAATTCACCTGAATTGTCTTTATGTGTTTTTTACTACCTAACTACTCTTTCGTCCATTCAGTGCTACTTTGTCCCAAGGCCACCAACACAAGTATATATA